AGATTCATTAAAGTCGTAGGGAAATCATAGTTAGATGTCGAATCATTCTGGCCTAAACATGTATATAAATGTGCTCATGACATGTGCTTGGCTAATATCTAATCAGAGCATGTGAGCGGAGCGGAACAAATATGGTGGGGCACTGAGCGGTTTTCAATTTAAAGTTGTTTGAGAAGCAGCTGTACCAACCTTTGTATTTCCGAATTCTCCTGAGTGGTGTATGACTTTACACGAGTGAATAAAGTGAACGTGATTCGTCATTTATCGAGGGAGCGGGATTGTTGTGGTGGAAGGTTCGCAAGCAAGTTTGATTATGGCCGATTTGTTGGAAGCATCTTGCTAACAAGTTAGCAACTAAGTGCTAATAGGTTTCCAATGGGAAATTCCATTGGGACCAAGTAGCACTAAATTGGTGACTTAGAAACGACACTTCAAGGAACACTATGGACAGCGGAAACATGCAAGAGGAGGAGAGTTTAGTGTCGGAGGTCGTGGATGAGTCTCCTCCGTCATCCATATTTTATTTAGAAGAGGAAAGCGGGGATGAAGATGTTGTGGAAGAGGACGCCAGGGCGGCAGAAGCTTGGTTTGGTGTAGAAGACTTACAGCCGTACATGTTTGAGCGCTTGCCTCGCAAGGTTCAAACCGTTGTGTATATTAGCTGCGACATATGAATCAAGATGCTATGACCAAAAAAATTTGATTGACAGATGACTGTTGATATATGATTGGCTGAATTTAGGTGTTTAGGCTGATGTATAACTAACTGGCCTGCATAATATAACGGAAAAAAAACAAAACAGACTTTAAGACAGGATTAAAAAAATCACATCAACCAATAAGAGAAGCTTATCTAGGAGCTGGCAGGGAGACAGACACAGCACTGCTGATGCAGAGCGCATTGATCACTAAATTAACTTAAAATACTGAAATCTGCCAGCAAAAATATGTTCGATTTTATTATTCTGATGCCTGCATTTTGGATTACCTACATGAAAAACGCTAAGATCTACTTCAGGCCACTGCGAACAGTATTGGCAAACCGCAAAGAGGCTAGGCCAGAGGCTGCTGTTGAAGGGGATTCCAAGTGACAGCGCACCGCTGGTGTACGGGGGTCTGAGCGGCTCCGACAGATAAATAATATTTAAAGGCAGGATGATAATCTGGATGAACTTACTGCACAGATGAAGTTTTCAGGTGGATTTTCTCACTTAAAAACATTTAAACTACTTTTTACTCACTGATCACAGCAAATATAGCTGCCATTGTTACAGGCAAAGAAAGGATAGAGTAGCTCAGCCCAACACGCATTAGAGCCATGTTCCATCGTGCAGCCAGAGCAGCAAAGATGCTTCAGTCGCGCTTCAGAACTAAACTTGTACAAGCATCAAAAATGAAGCAGCACTTGTGTTTTTGCTGCTCCTGCTGTTTGCGGTGTGAACGTAGCATAAGTCTAAGTCAACTGAACCACGGCGAGCCCTACTGATGAACTAGTACCAGTACTAGTACCGGTTCAGTTCTGCGTGCCATTTACACTCAACAGTTATCTCTGTTACCTTGCTGGGCCCGATCTCGGCACAGTTTCAAAAGGATAGTGTAAATGGGCTATGGAGTCTGCTTCCTCACCTGGATCTGTTCCTGTTTTCAGGGAGTAGTCACCGCAGCCACCAGCCTCATCACCACTCTGGCCCAGAAGAGTCCTGATGACTTCAAAACCTCCGTGTGTCTGGCTGTGGCCAGGCTCAGCAGGGTCGGTACCGCTCTGACCGTCTCCGACATCGTCTGTTCTGGTTTAAACTGGATTTCACCATTGGGATCTCTTTCTTTTCCACAGATCGTGACTTCTGCGTCCCTCGACCTGCAGGACTACACCTACTACTTTGTTGCTGCGCCGTGGCTGTCGGTCAAACTGTTGCGCCTCCTGCAGTGCTACCCTCCCCCCGGTACGGTACAGAGCAGCAGGCCTGACGGCACCAACAGATCACCTCTGAAACTCTTTGTAGGCCGAGTGGACATGAGTGCAAAAAATGTTGTGATGTTGCAGAGGACGCAGCGCTGCGGAGTCGTCTGACAGAGTGCCTGGAGACCATCCTCAATAAGGCTCAGGAGCCACCCAAGTCCAAGAAGGTACAGCACTCCAACGCCAAAAACGCTGTCCTGTTTGAAGCCATCGCCCTCATCATCCACCATGACAGGTTGGTTTCCTTCTGCTCCTCCTTTGTTTACCTGCTTTTCCTTCCTTCCATGATAGATACAGATGAATGAAACAAAGCAGGAAGCCTTCAGTCAGCGACAGGAACATTAAGAGAAATTAGTTCCAGTATTACTGAAAGTAGGAAACCCACTTGTTGTTGTTTTTCCATGAAAGTTTGTTTAAAAAAAAAAAAAATACAAAAACTTCTTAGCCCCCAAAAATGTTTTGAGAGGAATGTATGTGTATGCAGAAGCTCAGCCAATATTTTACAGTTTGCTATTATTTTCAGATTTTTTTATTTATTTTTTTTATTCATTTTTTATGTTATAATTGTTCCTTATTTTTCAATGTTAATTTAAAATATTTTTCCAATATCTATTTACATGTTTTACATATTTTTGTTTTTCATTTTTTTCCAAGTTTTTTTTCCAGATTACAATTTTTTTCAAAAGTTACCTTTCAAAATAGTTTGTAAAGTTTTCTATATATATATATATATATATATATATATATATATATATACACATATTTTATGAAT